TTTTCCCTAAGTTGGTCTCTGCTGCTTCCACCTACACATTTGATCTGTGGCATTTTAGATTAGGATATGTATCCCATTCTAAAATCCCCATCATCAAACAATTTTGTACCTCCATTTCCACTCATCAAGACCAACCCTGTGATGTTTGTCATTTTGCAAAACAGAAGAGACTTCCTTTCCCTTCCAGTCAGTCTGTAACTATTAAACCTTTTGAATTACTCCATGTAGACATCTGGGGTCCAAACTCCACCCCCACCTATGATGGCTTTAAATACTTCTTGACTATTGTTGATGACTACTCTAGAATGACATGGATTATATTGCTTCAACTTAAATCTGAAGCAAGACCAAAACTGATTGCCTTCTGCAATCAAATGGAGAGGCAGTTTGAAACAAAAATCAAAAGAATCAGGAGTGATCAAGGTAGGGAATTCCAGATGGATGATTTTTTTTCCTCCACTGGTATCCTGCATGAAATGTCATGTGTAGAAACTCCTCAACAGAACAGTAAAGTAGAGAGGAAACATCAGCATATTCTTGTTGTAGCTAGAGCACTTCAATTTCAAGCCAACTTACCTTCTACTTTTTGGGGTGACTATGTCAAGCATTCAGTTCACCTCATCAATAGAGTTCCATCCCCAGTGCTAGCAAATCAAACTCCTTTTGAACTGCTCTACAAATCCCCACCTGACCTCAATGAACTGAGAGTTTTTGGTTGTTTAGCCTATGCCAGTACTCTCAGTAATCACAAGACCAAATTTCAACCTAGAGCAAGAAAAACTATCTTTCTAGGATTTCCTTCTGGCATTAAAGGCTACAAGTTATATGATCTATCCTCTCATGAGGTATTCATCTCTAGAGATGTCATTTTCTTTGAGTCTCATTTTCCTTACCAGTCTGATCATCAGCAAGACCAATCTTCTACTCAATCAGATATTTTCTTTCCCATTCCTTCCACTGAATCTCATCTTGTTCATGATGCTTTTCTACCTCCTTCCCCTACCAACCCCTCATCTCCACAACCTACCCTTCCTATATCTGAACCAGAACCTACATCAACTCCCTCTACTTCTTCTCCTCCAGATACATCAACCATTCGTGCTTCACCATATTCCCCTAATTCATCTCCTCCTCTATCCAATTCCCCATCCCCACCTCCTGTTGTCAGATGTTCTGACAGGACTTCCAAACCAGCTCCTCACTTAATTCAAAACTATCATTGCTACCTGTCACAAGGCCCTAGCAGCATCAATCACTCAACACTGCAACAGGTCCAAGACACCAGGTATTCATTCTCCAACATGATCTCTTATGACAAGCTATCTTCCAATCACAAACGTTTTCTACTCAACATTTCCAATCACAGAGAACCTCAGACATACAATGAGGCTGCTCAACATGACATTTGGAATGATGCAATGCAACTAGAAATCAAAGCATTACTCAGAAACCATACCTGGGATGTTGTCAGTTTGCCTAAAGGGAAAAAAGCAATAGGCAACAAATGGATCTACAAGGATAAGTTTCTTTCTGATGGGTCCCTTGAAAGACATAAAGCCAGATTAGTGGCAAAAGGAAATACACAGCAAGAAGGTGTGGACTATCAAGATACATTTGCTCCTGTCATCAAAATGACAACAGTCAGGACTTTCTTAGCCACTGCAGCCATAAGGAACTGGCATATACATCAGTTAGATGTAAACAATACCTTCCTCCATGGTGACCTTGAAGAAGAAGTGTACATGACCCTGCCAAAAGGCTATGTGCCTCCTTCAGATGTTCCCAATCCAGTTTGCAGATTAAGAAAATCAATTTATGGCTTAAAACAAGCATCTCGTCAGTGGTTCTCCAAGCTTACTGACAAATTACAGCAAGTTGGATACATTCAAAGTCAAGCAGACCATTCCTTCTTCTTCAAGGTCACTGACACGAGTTACACATGCATTCTTATTTATGTGGATGATTTGGTTTTGGGGGGCAATGATATAACAGAAATTGAAGAACTGAAGCAGATTCTTCACAAGGAGTTCAGTATTAAGGATCTTGGCAATTTGAGGTATTTTTTGGGTATTGAAGTAGCTCGCAGCACATCAGGCATTCATTTATCACAAAGAAAGTATGCTCTTGAAATTCTTGAAGAAGCACAGGTTCTTGATTCAAAAACTGTATCAACACCAATGGACTACAAACTTCATCTCAGCAATGATTCAGACAAAGCCTTTGAAGACCCTGAACTTTACAGGACACTTGTTGGAAAGCTAATCTACCTCACTACTACAAGACCTGACATTAGTTTTGCCACTCAGCAACTAAGTCAGTTCATGTCATCTCCATATATTACACATTTCAAAGCTGTTATGCGTGTCCTACGTTACCTCAAATCAGCTCCTGGCACTGGTCTCTTTTTTCCTTCCAAAGGTACTTTCCAAATCAAAGCCTTCACTGACTCTGATTGGGCAGCTTGTGTAGATACACGTCGATCAACGACAGGTTTCTGCGTTTACATTGGAGACTCACTCATTTCCTGGAAAACAAAGAAACAACATACTGTCTCAAGATCCTCTTGCGAGGCCGAATACAGAGCATTGGCCTACACAGCTTGTGAGATTCAGTGGCTCCAATACCTGCTCAAAGACTTCCAAGCTTCCTCTTCATCTCCAGCTACTCTCTACTGCGACAATCAAAGCGCGGTTTACATTGCCAAAAATCCCTCTTTTCACGAACGAACAAAACATATCGAATTGGACTGTCATTTCGTTCGTGAAAAGCTGCAGAGTAGGACTCTGAAGCTACTCCATATCTCGGCTGTTCACCAGTTGGCAGACATTTTAACCAAACCTCTATCTCCATCGCCATTCCTCTCCTTGTTGTCCAAGCTTGGTGTGCGGAACATCTGCCCACCAGCTTGTGGGGGGGTAACAGATTGAAATTCATTTCAATTGCAACGGTCACCTCCCGCAGCGACGACGTTTTACCCTTTGCTTTCCCTTTCTTCGTGCAGCGTCGTTTCAGGAGGCAAGCTCACTTAATGGAACGATGTTGTTCAGAAGAGAAGACCACCACTGATTAGAACGATGTCGTTCCCTTCTTCTTTCGGTTGTACTTTCTTTCTGATTAAGCAATGTAACTTTTCCTTTCCAAGCTTCCAAACAAAACTTCCATGGAGCTTGTCCTGTAATGAGTTTGAATTGCCTATAAGAGGCAGAAGTTCTAATGAGAAACACCGGCTTTTTAGGGTTTCTATTCTCTCCATGTTCTTTGTTAAATTTCGATTTCGCATATTACGGGTAATTAGTGGGGTATGATTTTCTCACTATTCAACCCGAAGCTGTTGATTATACATATGTGTATGCAACGGCGGATCCAAGATAGGATAGAGCACTAGGCCACGTTTGAAAAGAGACGGAGAGGATTGGGCTGTAACCCGAAAAGCACTGAAACAAATACCTAAACTTGAACAATTACAAGGACTATACTAGCTCTGAATCCATGGGAGGGCTGGACCATGGCCCGAGGCCGGCCCCCTAGATCTGTCACCGTGTGTATGCATTTTATCTAGAAATTGTCTTTATTTTTTTCATCATATTAGATATTTTCTATGCATATATAATATTTTCATATGAAATTCTGTCTTATTTTGTTGAACTTATGAAAAAAAATTACTATTCATATATAAGCACATGGTTACCCAAACTGATAAAGCATAGTTATCTCTGTCGCTTTCTGAAACAGTCGTGTTACATATAAGTTACGAGTAACAAATGAGAGAATTATCTTGGAAAATTAATTTAAAATTATCTTCAAAGGGTGGGACTGAGAGAGGGTGTGATTGATGACTTTAATTGAAAATATATCCCCTTATATAATGATTGCATGTCTAACAAAGACTGATACAGCAGTAGGGATGGCAATGGGTCGGGTCGGGAACGGATAGTGCATATCCGTTGCCCTACTCAAAGTAGTTCGAGTTTTACCCATACCCAGACCCATATAAGAAATGGGTAGAAAATCCAAATCGTGTCCATACCCGTTCGGATTTCAGGTATCCACGGTTATCCATGGGTAATAGTTTCTCTTTATAATTCCAACAAATATGTTAATATTCACACATATTCTCATGTTACGTGAGGCAAAAGGTACGACAATAATTCACTATAATGAAAAAAATCAATTAAAACAATACAATTTCATGAAAATATTATATTTATATGCTAAATATAAAGTACGTTAGAGAAAAATAATGATTATTTTTAGACAAAATACATATGCATGTGTATAATCGTGCGGGCGTGCGGGTTCGGGTTGGATAGTGAGAAAACCATGCCCACCCATTACCCGCAATATTCGGGTTCGGGTTTTACCAGTACCCGCTAAAAGTCTTTCGGGTTCGGGTTTTACCCTACCCGATTAGGTCGGATTCGGGTGGATATCCATGGTTACGGATATTTTTGCCATCCATGTATAGCAACCCCAACTAGTGGTGGACATTGGGTGTATAGGGTGGATTTTGACTATAAAATGTATTCACCTGTTCTTAAATGGATTGACAATTTTTAACTCATTATCCACTCACATTTAGTCTCGAGTTGGGTGGGGTGGGTAGTGGTTAAAAAAAACCTTTTCTGAAATTCGAACAAATATTAATTATTTTTTACAAAATATATGAAAATAAATTTGATTTTGTAGAGTATGATTAATAGTTAAAAAATTGATAAACTATTTTAAAATGAATAATTCGTTAAATTTTAAAAGAGAAGTGGTTATACATAGTGGAATAACACTTGATTACAAACCAGATGTGCTCCGTTTCTAGCTTGGCAATAAAAAGTTGATTCCAGAACATCACTCAAATTATGAAGTTCTTTGCACGCAAATTTACTAGAGTACTTTTTCTTTTTTTGGTAAAAACTAAAAACTCATGTAGATTTGTAACATTAATTATATCGGTAAATGTCACATTTGGTCATCGGTATTACTAAATCGTGTTATATTTAGTCACTAAGAAAAATTAATATTAATTTCGGTCACTCAAAATAATAAAATATGTCACATTTGGTCACTCTCCCGTTAGTCTCCGTCCAACTCCGATCACTCGAATTACTTTTTGTCTTATGAATGTCACTCGAATTACTGAAACATGTCACAGTTAGTCACTCACCGTTAGCCTCCGTCAAACTTCGTTAATGGAGTTGGACGGAAACTAACGGAAGAGTGACTAAATGTGTCATGATTCAGTAGTTCGAATGACCAAAATTGATATTAATTTTTTCTAGTAACTAAACATGATATAATTTAATAATTTCACCTCTCCCCGTAACGTAGTGTAGCATCCATTGCAGGAGCTCCCCTTGGAAGAATTTATCATCTTGCTCATTATCAAGAACCTCCGCCCACGCTGCTCGTGCAAATGGACAATCACGTAGCACATGGAGCACCGTTTCTGGCCCCCCTCACGTAGCCGTAGGTATCTCGTTCCTTTTCTCACTCGTCGATGGAACCAGTATTTACTGCTCCAAAATAGTCGTTCTTACGCTTCCGGGGGTCTCCCTCTCTACAGTGAGGTTCTGTTTGAAGTTATGATTGAGACAACGAGTCATAAGTGACAAAATGTGACATTTACCTGTATCATCCCATACGTCCCGTCAATTATATGCAGCGAACGTCAAACCAAACATAAGCTATTGAGAGCATACTCCGGTGCTTCAGTTGTTCTCTGCATTCATATGCAATTCACGTGGCGCCATTGTTGTGGTCGCCTGGTCGGCTGGACTGCACAACATATATACAGTCGGTGGTGGAGCCGATGAATATTAAGTTGACTCTCGGCTTGGAAGAAAAATGAATAATAACTTACCTCATCATCATTTATATATAATTAGTGCAGCCAAAAACTAGTTTTAAAGTCTAAAAATCTATGCTTTGGACCTCCAAATATTGTAAGTTTTGTTCCAAAAACTTTTTCAACAAAAGCTCAAGTAAAAGCTATCAAAAGGGTTAATGCCACATTTGGTCACTGATTACTAAATTGTATCATGTTTAATCACTATAAAAAATTAATATTAAATTTGGTCACTCTAATTATTAAAACAGGTCATATTTAGTCACTCTCCGTTCATCTCCGTCCAACTTCGTTAATGGAGTCTGTTATGTACTGACGTGGCTAACGAGAGCGCCTAGTCAGCGCCGTTTTGACCAGAAAATGGCCAAACCCAACATGCCACTCCACCAAACTCGCCATGTCATACACCCAACCCGACCCAGAACTAAACCCTAGCCCACCTAACAATACAAAATTGGAAAATCGATCAGATTAGTGGTCATTTTCAGACCAAAACTCTTTCTCCTTCCTAGCTAGCGAAGCTCTGCTCCTTCCCCGCGAGGTGGAAAAGACTCCCAAATTGATTCTCTCGAGGTGCAAAAGACACAAATTATGGCCTCAGCGGTTGTATGTAGTTCAAGAATCTGCGATACCAAGCGACTGCATCTGTTCGACAACGAATACAACTGCGATTTCCCATCGCCGTAACCCTTGCCGGTTACCAAGAACCACCAGTTGGCTCCCCCATGTCTCGAGCGCCTCCAGGTGAGGTTCCCCAACATGGAGGTGGTGATTTTCAAGCTATCCCTAGAGGAATGCGGCGGCCACATCGACGCTGTGATCCACCGCATCTGCCATCTCTCCCTGGAAGAAGCGCTTACCACGAAACCCGACCCCGTGGTGAAAATCAACAGCGACCCCCCAATCTAGTGGGTTGAGCTGCTGGTGGAGGAGATGACAAAAGCGACGAGCATGGACGACACTAAGTCCCGAGCCGACTAAGTGTTTGAAGCTCTAGAGAATTGCACCTGCGGGATAAGGGGGTCAAGGGGGTAGCGTGGAGCTCTTTATCTCTCCCTGGAGATCGATCAAAAATGGCTGAACCTAGAGTAAGGACCAGAGCTTCGCGAGGAAGGAGAAAAGGTTTTGTTTTGAAAATGGCCACTAACCCGATCGATGTTCCAATTTTGTTTTGTTAGGTGGGCTAGGGTTTGGTTATGGGTCAGTTTGGGTTAATGATTTGGGTTGGGTGTACGACATGGCGTGTTTGGTGACGTGGCCGGTCGGGTTTGACCATTTTTTGGGGCAAAACGGTGCTGACTAGGTGCTCCTGTTAGCCACGTCAGCACATAATGCACTCCATTAACAGAGTTGGACGGAAAGTAACTAAGAGTGAGTAAATATGACCTATTTTAGTAATTAGAATGACCAAATTTGATATTAATTTTTTTCTAGTGACTAAACATGACACAGTTTAGTAATCATAGTGACCAAATGTGGCATTAACCAGCCATCAAACCTAGTAAAAGTCTTAGAAGCTAGCTTATAAACTGCTTTTTAAGGCTTTTGATATCAAGGTATTAGGACAATATAATTGGGGTGTGCAATGGTTTGGTTCGAATAGGACTATACCAAACCTTGAGACACACGGTTCAAAAGGAAAAAAATTAGCATCATGGATCGGACCAACATTGCATTAGGTCCAATGTGGTCCGGTCCAAATATCAATTAGGCTAATTTTCCTTCAATATTTATAAAATTCATAGGATCAATAATTGAACTGCATTATATTCTGTTGGTTTGGTCTAATCTCAACGTCGGTTTGGTCGGGTGTGATCTGCTCTGGAACAAACTGTTACACACCCTACGATATTTGCTCGGGTTTGATTCAGGTTTGCTAGTCTCATAAGAGAAAAAATGACGAACTTTTTATTTGTTTTTAGTTGGGTTATCCTTTCATTATTTCTTTCTACAAATTCCCCATACTTAGTTCATTGCCACTTCTCCTCCATTCTTGTCTTTCTCTGCGTACAAAACCGACACACGCCACATCCAGTTTATATATTACTCTTCTTCCACCAAATCCTCTTCTTGTTGAAACTTGCTAGCTTCCTTTTATCCTAATAATGAGTTTGCTACTAATATTTTGAACTTTGAAGCATAACTAGCTTATTATATATGATGTGAAGAGGGAAGTTTGGACCAGCTAAATCAGGTGAAGAGGGACCACTGGATGGCCCAAATTGAGACAGAATCCTTTGAAGTCTGCTAATATCACCATTTGACAGCCTTAGATTGGAACATCCATCACTAGACTCAGCAGCAATTTTGGTTTCTGGTTTGGGCAAGATCCCTCCCCCAATGTTGTCAACACTTTGAATATGTCCTGCAAACCTGGAAGAGGTGCCATTTTCCTTGTTCTTCCTTTTAAGTCTATAACAATTTGCAATGACATGGTTGTCTTTCTTGCAGTACCTGCAAAGTAAAGGACCCTATCCTCCTTTGGCATTCTCTTTTCCCTTATACTGGTTAGCAGCAAGGAGAGCTATTGTATCCACTTGAGAATCTTGACTAGGTTTGGCAACATGCCTTTCATGTTGAATGGCAGGTTGAAAAGCAGTTTCCATGGTAGGTAATGGACTCACCATCAACAAATTAGTCCTCGCTCCTCCATAAGAATCACTCAGACCAGTAATAATACGAGTAACAAACTCATTTCCCCTGTATTTCTGCATAGTCGACTCTGTAATGCAAGGAAAATTCCTATCCCTCTTACGTCCACCACTCAAACAACTAGGTATAGGTAAAAAATAAAACAATTCTTCATAATGGCATTTCAATTCAGAATAAAATTGGTTCATGGACTTGTTACCTTGCTTCGGAGTGTAAACAATTGTCTGCAAATCACTGATTCTGATGTTGTCAGATTGGCCATACCTCTGCCTCAAATCATCCCACAGAAGTTTGGCATTTTCTTGTGACGAAACACTATTGATCAGGGAAGGCTCCAGGGACCCAAGAATTCGAAAATACACTATCGTGTTGGTTTGCTCCCAAGTTTAATAGCTTTCATGTTGGGGATCTGGAATAGGTGTCAATAATAAATCCAAGTATATTCTTGCTCTTCAGAGCAACCCGCACGTACTGTATGACTCTAGAGTTTGTAGTTAGTTTTGCCTGTGAGTTTAATTGGGAAGTTGAGTGCCTCATTGGGGTTGATGTAGTCAGGATTGGTGCCGGTCGGCACCATCATCGAGCTAGTGGCTACGGTGGAGGCAACCTCAGTAGATGTAGCTCCGGTAGCAGACATGGTTAAGGGAAGGAAGGGAGCTCAATGGGTAAGAGAAAACCCTAAATGCCTTAACCAGGTTCTGATACCATGTGAGGATTTGTGAAGGAGTATTGGAATGGAAACCGTAGGGTTTCTAGTGGCTCAAGGCCTGTATATGTATCAAGAAGAAGATCAGCTCCTTCTTCACGAAGCGAAGGGAAAGTAACCTTATTCACAGCTATAAAACGGTAACAAACTGAAAAACAATCTATCTACCAATCGAAACAAGACACGTATTTATATACAGTAAAACCGGAAAGGCGGCAACACTAATAAAGGACGATATCAATTCAACTCAGCTATTTAGTTGCTTTTGAGGGAAACATGACGTAGTCAAAAGGCTTCTTCAATGTTGCATCAGGATTGCTAGGAAGCATGATCCGGTTCCTTCATCTACACTCCAAGCATCTTCAGTATCTTTAATAAACTCGTGATGCTCATTTTTGTTTGCAAAAAAGATGGAGATCATGGAGAATGGGTATGGCAAAGAGGCATTTCACTTGTTTGAGTTTCTTCAGCTTCTGGAACAAGTTGATTTGGGGATTTCTGGGTATTTACCGGTTAGTAAGAATCTCGATAACTTGAATGACTCTTCCAAGCCTTTTTGGTTGCCACTAACAGAGATAGAAGAGGGGTTTCGGATATGAAATCACACATCGTCTGATATGGGTTGACCGGTGCTAGATGGTAATGCTTGCCTCTCACTCACTTTGTCTCTAATTTGGGGTCGAGCTGTTTGAAATTTTCCTAATCACCCTGTTGTTGTAGGAACCACAGCAGCAGGATTCATGGTAATGAAAATGATACACTTCCCTTGTCGTAGTGGATTGTTGGATTTTGGAGTTGACGATATGAAAATGTATGGAAGAGATGGCGATGACAAGTGAGAGACTTATAGTGGGAAATCTAAGGTTCGAGTTGTTGAGGATGTTTTAGTCCTACAGTCACCAGAGTTGACTCTTTGTTTAATGTTGGTGCCGCTATTGCCTCCACGATTGGGTTATTTTTAGTGATAAAGGGGAAGAGTTTTCCAAGTACGACGAATGGGAAATGATCTTTGGGAGGTGAAGTGACGATGGAGAACTAGATTTCTATTGTCGGCATAGGAGTTTTCTGGAGTCGATAAAAAATGAAGAATGAACGAGAAAGGAGAAAGGGGGTTGTAAGAGTGGAAGACAGTTGGGAGAGTTAGTTGAATTAGAGTAATTTGGGAGAAGAAATGGATGAACAACTTAGTGTTGGGATTTTGGAAAGATATTTTCATATATGATAGAAAATGGACGTAGTACTTATTTTGATTTTGGGTGGCTGCTATGGTTCGTTTAACCAGACTCTAATATCATGTTAAAAGTTTTATGTGGAAAATGAAACCCTAAAACTCCCTAGGTGTTTCTCATTTACCCTTTGGTTTAAATAGACAAAGTTTGGCACTACTACAAGACAAATAGTGCAAGCTTGCATTTGGAAACTACAAAGATAAAAACATAACTCAAACTAAAGTTTAAACTAAACATTGACAATAAAACTAAACTTGATGCGGATAACTTCCTCTAAACGACGTCGATCCACTTACTTTTTCTTGACTTTTGTGGTCGTGGGTTGGACTCTTGAATTGATCTCTCAATATCTCTTGCTACATGATTGCCCAAATGTTTACAATTTTCAAAAGGGCTAATACCACTAGAAAACCCGAACTATTAACTTTGTGCCATTTGTGTTCTAAAGTATTCGATATGACAATTGTGTCCTAAACAATTTCTCCGTTAGAGTTGACCGGCGTTGACCGTTAGTTTTTAACAGAAAATCCAGTAAGCGCTGATGTGGTATCTTAAGTGGAATTTATAATTATTTTTCATATAAAAAAAGAAAACTACAAAAATAAAAAAATAAAAACCCATCTCCATCGTCTTCTCCGACCTCTCCCCTTCTCATCCATGTTACACTGACCGGCGATAACCAGGAGAGAACGGAAAACTACAAACGCCGTCGACTTCCTCTGCAATTTTCACAATTGGAAATGAAAAAGAAGAACGGCAGCCATCATCATCCTCATCATCACTACAACTGCCCCGCCGCAGCTCAACTCCACCAGATTTCCCTCATCCTCCGCCGCGGCGGCCACTATCTCTTCCCATTGATCTCGGCTCTGTCCGCCTCCGTCCTCCTCTACCTCGCCACTTTCGCTCTCCTCTCCTCCCCAGCCGAAAGCGTCGTGACCGCAGCCGCCACCGTCTCGTCACACGACGACAGAGCGAAGGGGGAAATCTCCCCCATTAGTATCCCGTCGCAATCGACGACGACCACGAAAGTCTGGTCGACAAGAGAGGCCGAGATGGCCTCAGAGCAGAGGAGGCAGGGGAGTGGTACTCAATTGTCAGAACGTCAGTGGTAATTATCCCCAGGTAGTCGATCGATAGAGCTGGAAGCGGTGAGAAAATGGCGATCGAGCTCAGAAAGAAGCGAATCACGTCTTATTGCGTCACCCAACAGTACTCCCTTCCTTTGTGGAACGTCGAAGAAGACAGCTTCTACTTCTGCTGCTTTTTCCTCATCCAGATCTGCCTAGCTTTGATCGGAACCACCAAATTTTGTGCCCCTTTCAGTATCAGATCTATCGCTCCCCCCCAAACTGCACAAAAAACCCAAATTTCTCCATTCAAACACCCAAAACCGATCAATTCGAGAGGCTCCCCTATGTTTCTCCCTCTTCTTTCAAATTTCACTAATCCAGTATCTCGAATGAAACCCAGGAAACCCAGATCTAATGAAACCAAGAAGTGGCGGCGTTGAAATTAGATCTACAGCGACGCGACGATTTGGATGGGCTCGGAGATTTGGAATGGGTACGAGCTTCCCTCCATCTCCTCGTCGACGATTTGGAAGGTTTTCCCAGCCTTCATCGCCTGATGGGAGCCGCCACTCCACCTTCCTCCTGTCTCTTCAACACCAATGTCTTGCAGCCGGTCTCCGAGTCCGGGAAGGGACAGTTGATTGTGTTTTGTTTTCACAGAGGATGAAGAAGGTTGAACGGAATCTTTCCCCTGTCTATCGTGTTTCACAATTTGAGCGGCGATGGTGAATCTAAGATGAGGAAGAAGGGATTAGTTTTTATTTTTTATTTAATTTTAATTTTAAAATAATAATATGTTGTGGCGCAGATGTGGCTGCCACATATGTGTCATGTAACCAACAATCAACATTTTATGGTTGACCGTTTGGTCAACCATTATCTATAACGGTCAACGAAATTGTCAGGACGTAAATGACACAAAACTACCAAACGTTGGGACACAATTGTCATATCGAATACTTTAGAACACAAATGACACAAAGTTAATAGTTCGGGTTTTCCAGTGGTATTAGCCCTTTTCAAAATCAATGTGAATCTACATATGAATTTGAAATTTATATATATAATGTGGTTAACTAATATAGTTCAACGAAATTTGAACACAAAACTTCGCGATTATCGTACCATTTGCTTAACAACTATATATTTCACGTCCATCCCAATTTTTCTGAGTACAAATCCTTCAAAAAAGTTCAGCGTGCCATGTCGAAAGTTTCTCTATGATAAACTATCATTGCAGAATGAGTACTTCGCGACGTATATCTAGTCTATATACAGAACTTGCCCACGTAACATGGTGGACGTGTCTTGAAGGAATTGGACCATTCCTATTAGTGCGGTCGAAAGCTAGAAGAACAGCCAATTAACCAGTAGCAAGCCCACTTCACATAGCGACCAGCGTATCCAAACATAATCGAAAAAGGCCGAAATGAAAGTTCTACAAAACCTGTCTTGTCACCGCCTTTCTGGGTAGCTGTAATTACTTTTATAAGGAACGGAAATTACGTGGTCGAGTTTTGGTTTCTATATGCGGTATGGGGATTCTAATTACGGCGACCGGCCAGCTGCCATATCTGCATTATTGTTTCAATCAGCCGACCAAGCTAGTGTTTTCTGTTTTGGCGGTTTTTGGAATGAAAATGCAAATCATGCACCCTCTTTTTTGCAAAAATATGGATCCATGACATCAATCGGACAAATGATTGAATGTGTGTTCGAAAAAAGGTCTTGGATTTAATTAATATATTTGAGGAGTAGTCCAGATCCATCAGAGTTTTTTTTTATAGAAATAGAAATGCTTTAGGGGTCGTTTGTTAAGCACGTAATCTAGAATTCATGTATATTGTAGGTTGAGTTGTGAGAAATTGTGTAATATTAGAATGCATTGTTTGGCTTGCATGAGTTCATGGTAGAACCCACATAATTTGGCATGAAATCTCAAATACTTTGGGTAAACGCAAAGCATTTGAGATATCATGGTCACATGAATTCTAGAATTACATGGTGCACCAATATCATAATATTTGTCCAAAAATAAAACAAGAAAAACAGTGAAATCTCAGATATCATATAATCTTGAAATCCGTGGGTAGATTACATGCTTACCAAACTACTTCTTAATAATATTTGATTGGAAGGAGATAAGTATCTTCTTTCAATCGTCTCACTTTGGACGACCTAGTATTAGGATTGGTTCTTCTTGTATTAATAGAAATAAATACGCATGAGTCATTTGTAAGTGGTTCCTAAGTATTTATAGGTTCAATAAGTGGCGTAGCTAGGATTTTATGTAAGGTGGGTCCGAATTTTTTTTATATTGAAAGAAAAATTTGAATTATTGCAGCGCACCATAATGTGTTCTCATATTTTGACGAACTTGCATTCATATGATATCGATGTCAGTATATCCTATAAAATAATCATTCATGATTGTGTCACCCATTAGAAACCAAAGAGTGTTTTCACGTGGCTAATTGAAAATGTCATTTCAATACGTGCAGTGGAGCCTTAGTTCGCAACAACGATAAGTTACTTCTTTCAATTACCATGATTCAATAAATAACTCCTAATTCTATATAGTTTTAGACAAAACTAGCATATTTTCACGTCAAAGTATACATATAATAATCTACTTGAGTTTTAAAACCTGATATATTAAATTTATTATTAGGATAAAAAGAATCTAGCAAGTTTCAACAGAAGAAAGTTTTGGCGATATATAATGTATAAATTATGAATTTGAGGCCTGGAGGATGAAGCAATATTTTGTGGTAATATTATTTCTGTAGAAACTAAATGTATTATTTAATGATGATAGATAAATTTATTATTTAATTATTGTTTGATGGCAGAAATAGTGATCCATATTGATGACTTTTAGGTTAAAAATCTCATCAACAATTAACTATAGAAATTAAGGATTGAAAAATCGTATCGTACCGACGGTTCGATCAAAAAAAATCTCATACTGGAAGCGAAATCAGTAGAAGATATTTAGCGGTATGAAATGGTTGAACCACGATTAAACCACGTTTTCAACATAAAATATCCTACCATTAACTTGTACGATATAACTTTTGGTATGATTTTTAATCCTTATTATTTAGACGTACATATTTTCTCCCGCACCAAGGTGGGTCCCGGGACCCACCTTAGTATGCACTGGCTCCGCCACTGGGTCCAATCAAATTCAAGAAGGCATAATGAAAGATAACTTCTTTGGACCTGGTATTAGGGTTGGTAAACGGTTAGTTGGTTTTAACTGATATTAGTCGTTAGTGGTTAGCCGATGTCCGAAAACTTCTTAGTGGTTTGGTGTCGGTTATCTGATTTAATAACTATAGTGTTTAACCACCAGCGACTAATCGAGTAGTGATTAATCGATAAGAAAATCAATACCTGCCTATTAACCACATAATTTTAGGTTTTGGCTAAGAGGAAAAGTTCCAACATTCAAGACCAACCAAAGTCCTAATTTCCAACATCCCAATTCTCACCTATTGAAAACAACCCTCCACCCAAAGTCTCATATGTATTAAAAGTCACAACCTGAAAGCGACCCCTTTCTAACTCCCCTTTGCAGTCGACAGTGTGAACTTCGCACTGTACTATTTTTTGTTTCTTTGATATTTATGAATGATGATGATCTTGCGGTGCTTGTGTTTGATGTATTGCTAGTTGGTAATAGCTAATTAAATTCTTTGATTATTTTTAATTTTCTCTTCAAATTTGGAATCAGAATATGAAAACACGATGTGTGTTGTATTGCATGGTTAGTGTTGGAAGAAGGCAAGCTTGTGTGAGGCTCCAATTGAGGAAACCTGAAGAAAATGATCGAAAAAGGAAATTCCATTCTCGGTAAAACAATTAAGGAAGGTGTCTTCAATCAAGATTAAAGCAGAATCAGCCTAATTGATTGTCTGAGGGTTAACGGCTAGGAGAATGTATGTATAAAGAGTGAAAGGGTTGGGTAGATAGCAGTATCCTTTTCAAGAGAGAATCAGAGCTTGAAAGGTTGGGTTTAGTTTGAATTGCAGCAGGGAGCTGTAGGTTCAGAGCGATTATGATCAGAGTGACATGGAGTCATCGAGAGATCAAAGCTGAAAATCACAAGAACATAGTATAACGCCAAAGGACTCAAGCAGAGTACCTTTGACCGTAGATTATTCGATACTGAATTCATTGTATCGGATACCACGTAAAAATATCGTGTCCGAGCTTTACTTGTGTTTTACTGTGTTTCATTTTATTTCCAGTTCTTATCAAAGTTCTTGATTTGGTGCGAGTATAAGTTTTTGTGTAAACAGGGTTTGATCTATTGGTTCGAGCAAATAAGAGGGAAACTGTGTTTTCAAAACGCAGTGTTGTACTCAAGTGAATTGGGCCAGGTTAACCATGCAGATCTGATAACAATCTCAGCCCAACCATCTTCGAGATCAATCGTCAGAGTCGGTGTCGTTTTGATAAACATCAAAAGAGAAGTCTCTTTACCTTTCCCTTCGATTGGTTTTTCTGCTCATTTCATCTTCTTCACTTGGCTTTGTCGAAATCGAAATTAGGGTTTTCAGATTCCATTTAATTAAAGAACCAGAGGAGATTGACACTTGAGTCTCACACTCGACTCAACCAACACGTGGTATCAGAGCCCGGCTCCGCCAAGCAAGGGTTAACTACCTGCGGAGGAAATGAGTTCGAGCACAAGCAATGGCAGAGTGTTCATGGCATATGGTTTTTCCCAAACCAAGCCTCCTAGATTCGAAGGGGTTCATTACGGTTACTAGCGCAATCGCATGGAATTGTTCATAGGGTCAACTGACCCTGATCTCTGGAGTATCGTGCTGGTGGACCACTTGAAGTGAAGGAGGCACGAGGAAAATGGACGAACGAAAACAAGCAGAACTTCCAGTTGAACTCCAAAGCGACGAACCTCATGTACTGTGCGCTAGGTCAGAGGAGTACCATAGAGTCTCAGGCTGCAAATCTGCTAAGGAGATCTGGGACAAATTGCAAGTGGCTCATGAAGGTACTACTCATGTCAAGATATCAAGAATAAATCGATTGAAGCAAGAGTTTGAGTCATTTGTGATGAAGCCAGAAGAAACCATCAAAGAGATGCACGATAGGTTTACTACTATCGTGAATAGTTTGAGGAATCTGGATGTGGAGTACAGTAGTGCTGATCTGGTGAGAAAAGTGCTTTGGGCTCTCCCGAAACGTTGGACTCCCAAGGTTACTGCAATCGAAGAATCGAAGGATTTAACTAAGCTGAGCTTGGATGAACTCATGGGTTCATTAGTGACACACGAAGAAAAACTCAAAAGAGAAGGAGAGGAGGTTCGTAAAGAAAAGAAGAGCATTGCGTTCAAGGTATCTGCATCAGAAGAAGAACTCGACTGCCTGGAAGACATGGAGGATGAAGAACTGGCCATGCTAAGTAAGCATGTGGCCAAGCTACTTAGACTGCGAAGAGAGAAGAAAAAAGGAGGCTTTCTCAATCGCACAAGGGAAGGTGATCCAGAAAAGGAGCAATTGAAAAAGTTCAGAGCCAATCCAAGAGTCAGACGTGAGTTAATCAGCAATGACAACAAGGCTGGGTCATCAGCAGGATGCTTCAAGTGTGGAAGATGTGGGCACATCAAAGTAGACCGCCCCCAAATGAAGCGAGAGAAAGCATATACAGCCACCTGAAGCTGCAGTGAAGATGAAGAGGAAGAGGTCGAGCCCAAATATGAAGCTTATATGGCCATTGATGAGAGCGAAGATGATATGGAAGCATCACTGGTCAGGAACTCTAACTACTATTCAGATTCATGTGATGAAAATGGTCAAATAATAGAAACTATAAGAGATATTCAGCCAGAATTCAAAACTGTTAGATCAAAACATATTAGAATGAAATCTGAATTTGAGGATTTGCTTAGTAGTTACAACAAACTGAAAAGGGAGAAACTAGAAACAAATGAAAGATTGGAAGAAGTTGTAAGAAGAAATACAGAACTAGAGGCAGAAATTGCCAAAAGTAGGAAAGCTTGTAGGAATCTGTGTGCACAACATAATAAGCCTTTAAGAACAAAAAAGAGTCATAACAAAGCAACTCCTGAATGCTTCTATTGCCATGGTCTAGGACAGTATATCTCACACTGTCAGAAACGAATAGCTAAGGAAGCTAGGTTAAAAGAAACAGTATGCTTTTCATGTCACAAGAAGGGACATATGAGTTATAATTGTACTGATGTAAAAGTAAGAATTGGAGTATCCAAAATGGTTTGGATACCGAAAAACAAATAAAGTGTTTTTGTGTCCAGGTCTGCTTCCAAGTGAGCATGGAAGACAGCGAATGGATTCTGGATAGTGGGTGCTCACACCACATGACTGGAAATGAAAAACTATTTTCTAAACTGATTAAGGGTAAGAAAGGTAAGGTTTATTTTGGAGATAATTATAGTACTGATGTTCTAGGCAAGGGAAAAATAGGAACAAGACCAATTATAACTAATGTGATGTGGGTCGATGGTCTTAAGCATAACCTATTCTCAATAAGTCAAATGTGTAGAGAAACTAATAGGGTGATTTTTTAACCTAATAAGTGCTACGTTGAGAATATTGACGGTAAGAAAATTTTGTTCACAGGTAGAAGAAAAGGAAAACTATTTCGCATAAATCTAAATAACAAGAATGATTTTAATGAAATGTGTTTGATAACTGCGAACAAAAATGAACAGTTAGATTGGCACAGAAAGTTGGGTCATATCAGTGTGGGATCTTTGGCTAAACTGATTAGCTTGGATAGTGTAATTGGAGTACAAAAATAAGTAGTAAGAAGGAATTTTATTGTGAAGCATGCACAAGAGGGAAGCAGGTCAGATCTTCTTTTAAAAGTAAACCTGTGATCTCCACTTCTAAACCATTGGAATTATTACATTTAGATCTCTTTGGTCCAAGTAATGTAATGAGTCTTGGTGGAAAATATTATGCCTGTGTAGTTGTAGATGACTATTCCCGGTTTACATGGGTGTTGTTTCTCTCGAATAAAGGGGAGACTTTTGTGCATTTTAAAAATCTGATTAAAAGACTAGGGAATGAAAAGGGTACCAGAATTGTGAGTATAAGAAGTGACCACGGAGGAGAGTTCATTTCTGACAGTTTTGATAAATTTTGTGAAGAAACAGGAATATCTCATAAATTTTCTGCTCCTAGAACTCCACAGCAAAATGGAGTGGTAGAAAGAAAATATCGTACCCTAATAGATATAGCTAGGACTATGTTGAATGATTATGGGCTACCAAAATATTTCTGGGCAGAAGCTATAAACACTGCCTGTTATATTATTAATAGAGGTCTAATCAGGTCTAAGCTAAATAAGACACCTTATGAATTATGGAAGAACATAAAACCAAATGTGGGATATTTTTACCCTTTCGGGTGCAAATGTTTTGTTCTCAATACCAAAGATAATCTGGGGAATTCGATTCTAAGTCAGATGAAGCAATTTTCCTAGGATATTCTGTTCATAGCAGGGCCTTCAGGGTATATAATAAATGGACCCTCAAAGTTGAGGAGTCCATAAACGTGGTATTTGATGATTCTCTTAGTAAGTGTGCAAATCAAATCGATGAGGATGATGATCTTGGATTAGGAAGATCACATAAACCCAGTCAAGTAGAAACAAGCTGAACAGGAGATGGGGAACGAAGGGTCACAAGTACAGACAGGTGAAGGAGAAATGGCAGAAACTGATACAAACAGAGTGAAAGAAGTACCTCTGCACATTCAAAAATGGCATCCACCATCTCAGGTCATAGGTGACTTGAGAGAAGGTATGGTTACTCGATCTAAATTGTCAAATGTGCATACTGCTTTTGTGTCTCTATTAGTACCTAAGAACATTAAGGAGGCTCTAAATGATGAATTCTGGATAGCTTCTATGCAAGATGAAATGAGGTATTTTGAAAGATTAAATGTTTGGGAACTTGTTCCAAAGCCTGAGGATAAACCTATAATTGGAACCAAGTGGGTCTATAAGAATAAAACTGATGAAATTGGTGATATAACTAAAAATAAGTCTAGACTAGTAGCACAGGGGTATGATCAGGAGGAAGGAATAGACTTTGATGAATCATTTGCTCCTGTAGCTAGACTGGAAGCCATTAGGTTGTTGTGTGCATTTGCTGCATCTCAAAGATTTAAACTTTATCAAATGGATGTCAAAAGTGCTTTCCTCAATGGAGATTTGAAAGAAGAAGTTTATGTTGTTCAACCTCCTGGGTTTGAAAATCATAAAATTCCTAATCATGTATATAAACTGAACAAAGCTCTTTATGGTTTAAAACAAGCTCCTAGGGCTTTTGTAGAGGCTCTATAGATAAAAATTTATTCATCAAAAGCCTAAATGGTCATACTATGCTTGTTCAAGTATATGTAGACGACATAATTTTTGGCTCCTCTAGTCAAAAAATGTGTATACACTTTTCGTCAGTAATGAAAGGGGCATTTGAGATGAGCTTAATGGGAGAACTAACGTATTTCTTAGGTTTGCAAGTTCAGCAGACTAGCAAAGGCACCTTTATTAGTCAAACTAAATACTTAAATAACATGCTCGAATGTTTTGACCTTAAGAATTTGAAATCTGCAATCACACCAATGGGTTCTACAGTAAAACTTTCTTTGGATGAATCAGGAGAACCAGTTAGTGATAAATTATATCGAGGAATGATTGGCTCTCTTCTTTATCTAACTACCACTAGACCTGACATAATGTACAGTGTATGTGCTTGTGCCAGATTTCAGAGTAATCCTAAGATGAGTCATTTAACTGCAGTAAAACGTATTTTTCGTTATCATAGTGGCACTGCCTCTCTTGGGTTGTGGTATTCGTGTGATTCAAGTCTTGAATTACTAGGGTATAGCGATTCTGACTATGCTGGTTGTATAACTGATAGGAAGAGTACATCTGGAACGTGTCATTTTCTTGGCATGTCACTCATTTCTTGGGCTAGTAAGAAGCAGAGCTCTGTTGCTTTATCAACTGCCGAGGCAGAATATATTGCAGCAGGGTTAGGCTGTACTCAACTACTATGGTTGAAGTATCAACTTCAGGACTATGGTGTTAGTATAGGATCCCTTCCCATCTTATGTGATAACACGAGTGCTATAAACATGACCAAAAATCCTATTCAGCACTCACGAACTAAACATATCGAAATTCGCTATCATTTCATTCGTGATCTCGTCCAAGATGGCAAAATTCATTTGGAATTCATTAACTCAGAAATGCAATGGGCCGATATCTTTACTAAACCTTTAGGTGCTGAAAAAATCTTACCAATTCGAAATGAACTTGGCAATGTTTACTCAAGAAGACATTAATGAGATTTGATTGCACCTAACATATTCTCTTGCCTTGTTTTCATTGATTTCCCCATTCATCTTCTTATTCTTTCCCTTCCATCCGAAGAGTTTCCCTGATTTAATGCAGTCTACTGCATATAAACCTAATCTCATCTCTTCCTTCTCTTAATTCTTGCCCACTGTCTCATACACTCTCTGGTACACATACCGAAAACATATTCAACTCCTCAAAAATGGCTCCTAACAATCTTCAGCTGCAGTCGTCAGTGCTGTTCAAAAATCAAAGTTTTCACAATGCTGCTACCTATTCTAGGTATCTTTGTAGTTTTCGTGATCGCCCTCTCTACTCTTCCTTCTCCATTCAGCCTACCACCTTCTCCAAATATGATATGAATATACCTGCATATCTTCAGAATATAGGATGGGAGTCTCTGGTCACGAATCAGCGATTAGTCAGTGTCCTGAGACTGTTCGTCTCTTCTATGTTAATCTTCGATGTGGCCCTGGGAGTGATCCTGATTCTTTCACCACACTAGTTTATGACTATGAGATTAAAGTGACGCCTGGGTTGCTGGCGTCAGTCTTGGACCTTCCTCATAATGGGATTCAGGCTGGCACAGACAGGGAGTTCTATTAGTCTGGTTTCGGTTTGATCATGCTCTTGAGTCCTTGACTCGTGGCATAGGTCAATGGTTTCCATCCAAACTTGTCGCCGGCAGGTTGCCAGATGATCTCAAGGTGTTGTTCTTCTTCCTCACACGCTGGTTTCTGCCTCGTGATCTGGGCAGCACTGATCTCATTCATTCTCCTGACCTCTAGGTCCTCTTTAATGCGCGGGCTGGTCGTCGCATTAGTTATGCCTCCCTCATGTTCCAGCACATAATCAAGTTTGGGCGTGAATACTATGGTGGTCCATTGCCTTTTGGCCCTCAAATCACGCGATTCCTATATCGTCTAGGCATTGACTTACGTGATAAAGTTATTGTCTGTGATGTTTTGGATGATTAGTGTCCTCAGCACGTTCTTGCTCGCCTTGATGCATTAGTTGGTCCCCGTAAGCCTGTCACTGGCTCAGGGGGAGTGAATGGTCATCAACATATGGCTTTTAGGCTCTTGTTAATGCAGCTGCTGCAGCATTTAAACAAGACGCTACCACCAATAGTGGCCCAAAGCGGAAGCTAATGCTTGAAAAGGATTTGATGTTACCAAAGTTTGTATATGAGTCAAATAATATCAATGATCTGATTACTCCAGATTCAGATTCTGGTGATGAGGATAGAGTTTCAGGCTATGCTTCACCTCCTAATTATCCGTTTTGAGAAATGACCTGGAAGGCTGAGTTGAGTCTTAGGACACTATCTTTTGATCTTTCTAAGTTGACTGTCGAGTCTTTGGATTTAAGTTCTTGGCTATTGTTTTGAAATAAGAATAAATAAATGAATTTCCTTTTTTTAGTGCACCAAGTGTACATGTGTGTTTGGATAGGCTGCACCCATGGTTTGTTCAATGTGTGCAGGTTGCTGAGTAGAGCCACTGACAAGCTTAGGGGGAGAATGTTGGAAGAAGGCAAGCTTGTGTCAGGCTCCAATTGAGGAAACCTGAAGAAAATGATCGAAAAAGGAAATTCCATTCTCGGTAAAACAATTAAGGAAGGTGTCTTCAATCAAGATTAAAGTAGAATCAACCTAATTGATAGTGTGAGGGTTAACGGCTAGGAGAATGTATGTATAAAGAGTGAAAGGGTTGGGTAGATAGCGGTATCCTTTTAAAGAGAGAATCAAAACAGGAGCAAAAGAGTACTGTCAAGGTTTTGATTAGAGAAGGAGTGAGCTGTCGGGGAGAGAGCTTGAAAGGTTGGGTTTAGTTCGAATTGCAGCAGGGAGCTGTAGGTTCAGAGTGATTCTGATCAGAGTGACAGGGAGTCATCGAGAGATCAAAGTTGTACTGTGTAATCCGAAATCACAAGAACATAGTATAACGTCAAAGGACTCAAGCATATTACCTTTGACCATGGATTAGTCGATACTGAATTCATCAGTATCGGATACCACATAAAAATATTGTGTCCAAGCTTTACTTGTGTTTTACTGCGTTTCATTTTATTTCCAGTTCTTATCAAAGTTCTTGATTTGGTGCGAGTGTAAGTTTTTGTGCAGAACAGGGTTTGATCTATTGGTTCAAGCAAAAAAGAGGGAAACTGTGTTTTCAAAACGCAGTGTTGTACTGAAGTGAATTGGGCCAGGTTAACCATGGAGATCTTATAACAATCTCAGCCCAACCCACTTCGAGATTAATCGTCAGAGTCGGTGTCGTTTTGATAAACATCAAAAGAGAAGTCTCTTTACCTTTCCCTTCGATTGGTTTTTCTGCTCATTTCATCTTCTTCACTTGGCATTGTCGAAATCGAAATTAGGGTTTTCAGATTCCATTTAATCACAGAACCAGAGGAGATTGACACTTGAGTCCTGCGCTCGACTCAACCAACAGTTAGTACCCTGTAATGGCTATAAATTATAAAACCATCAGCGTCGAGGCCCGAGGGCCATGAGTTTTGTGTGTTTCAAGCAAGGTCCAAGAAGGCGCTAGCGTAAGGTGGGCATTGGGGTCTTTTCTAGCGCCTAGCTTGCCAAGACATCGTCAAAATGTGCCTAGACATTGGAAGAAAAATAGCAATTTTTACTACCTGATGAATGAAATAACAATTTATAGAATCATAGCTCAACAGATAACCTCTTTGATATTGACTGCCTTACTCCGTCGACGTGTTCCCAATATATAATTTGATGTGTAACCTCAAGGCGAGACGTTTTGGTGTTGCCTAATGCCTAGGTGGGCCTTGACGTAAAGTTAAGCGTGACTTTTTGAACCATTAAACTGAAGAAAATGAAAAAAATGTGGTAGCACAAGCAAACTTCGAAATCACAGACGAACGACAAAAGAAGCACAAACAAAAACTATAATTAGGCCGGAGGAGTTGACAGACTAACCAATAATTCGGCCGGTTTTCACCTTTGGCCCAACGAGCAAAAACATAACAAGAGGGTCAGCCCCTTCATTTAGTGAACTGATGCATTCCACTAGGGGATTCGCTTTTTCCTTTGCTTAACTGGGGAAGGAATGATTGGCCCAGGCAACATTCAAAAATAAAATGGGGGTTTATTTTAGACCGAGGTGCGCTAAATTCTTTGGGAGAGGGTAGGGGTGGTAATCGATTTTCCGGTTATCGGTATAAATGGTTACAAAATTGGTAACGTTGCTTACTGGTTATACCGTTAATCAAATGTATCGATATGCGGTAGCCAACATTCAGCTATCGGTATACCGGGTTATACCCATTTAATAACCATCGGTTATCCGGTTATACATACCGAATAACCGGAAAATAGCTCTCCCTTTCCTTAATCAGCGCACACCGAACTCTTTTCTTTCACTTTTTCCCTAACTATCCTCTCTTTCACTTTCTCCCAATCTTCTCTCTCGCTATATCTCTATCTATACCCAAAATACCCAACCTTCATCTCTCTAACTCTCTCTTATCATCTCCCCAAGCCTCCTCTCTTTCTCTAATCATCACGCAACAAATCATGTTCGCAAGCGGTGCATGCGAGCGGAGACTCCGCACACCGCCGTGTCGCCGCCACTGCGAGTGATTCATTAGAATCAGATTCAGACCTCAAGATTTTGCCACCGCATGCACCGCTGTCTTTCTTCCTACCTTTGTTTCTCTTTGTCGTTTCCAACAGGGGAGAGGGAAAGACGAGGGTAGATGGGTGTTTTGTTAATTGTGTATGTGTCTCGTATGTATAGTAGTTGTAGTTCGTAGTGCCCATTGCATTAAAGCCCATGCAACCCATGAGTATTAGGAGCAAATTACGTAACCCTAATTACTAAAGGGTTCGGCCGATGCTGGATATAAGTGTAGAAAGCAGCAGCCTTTGTACATCATCGAAAATAATCAGTAAAACTGTAGTCGAGGAGTTTGAAGCTCCTCCGTGGATTAGTCCTGGTTAATCCGGGGATACCACGTAAATCGGCGTCTATCATTTCCGTTACTGTCTTCCATTTCTCATCATGGTATCAGAGCCTACACAGATCGATTCCGAGAGACCTTCATTATGTCTTACTTTTACCAATTTTGCACTGTGGGAATTTCAATTTCGCGTCTTCTTAGAAGGCCGTGGATTGCTGGGTATTCTCGACAGAACTATACCACCATCGACAGATAGAGAAGCTACCGCACAGGAAAAGGCACAATGGAATCAGAATGATGCTCGCGTGAGATCGTGGCTGTTGAAATCCGTAGATGCATCCACCTGTCTGAGTCTATGACTATTTCTGACGGCAAACCGGATGTGGAGACATCTGACCGCCCTTTATTCTACCGTTAATCCTGCACGACAGTTCGAAATTCAGATGTCCATTGCTCGTCTGGAGCAAGGGGATAAATCGGTCACCGAGTATTTTAACTTAGCCCAAGAATTATGGACGGAACAAGATTTGATTCGAGCTGTATTGAGACCTCACGCTGCCATGACAGAAGATGCAATAATCGAGAGACAAAGGACCAGAATTCTTGAGTTTTTAATGAGGTTAAGGCCAGAGTTTGAGGGTGTAAGGTCGGCGCTGCTTCACAAAGAAGAATTGAAGTTCGATGGTGTCCTGGCCACATTAGTCTGTGAAGAAACAAGAATTAGAACACAAGTTGTCATTGACCAACGACCAGGAGAGGGAGAGACTCTCCTAGCTGTCGCAAATTCCGCAATAAGAGGTACAAGATCTAACTCTCTTGTACTCGCTGTCGATCACCCACCGACAATTGGGGACCTGTTCGCCATGTTCAGGGAGCACCTCTTGCTGATCAATTTGGCCAAAGTGGAGAGGCTGGGAGCAGTTCTAGTGCCACGGCTGTAACTGTGGAACAAATGGTGAATGCAGCCTTGCAACACTCTCTTCCGACCGCAATCAACGCGGCTTTTGCTACGCTACAGGGATCAGGTAAATCCTCGCATTGGCTTCTTGACAGTGCTTGTTATAATAATATGACTAGGACGTCAGAAATGTTAAGGGATGTGAAACCTGTTAATGATATGGAATTAACAGTGGCAAATGGTGAAAAATTAGGCGTTAGAGGAGTGGGTAATGTGGTTACTGAATCTATATCCCTCCAAAATGCATTACATGTGCCTCAGCTAGTCCCAAATTTGGTTTCCGTAGGACAGCTTACTGAACAAGGTTATTCTGTGGTGTTTGCTCCGTCTGGATGTCTTGTACAGGATTCGAAGACGGCGAGGCCGATCGGAAGGGGGAGTAAGCGAGGACGGTTGTTTCATTTGGAGGAATTACATGGGAATTCTCTATCGTCGACCGTCAGTAGTCCTTCTCATAATTCTATCAGTAGTCCTTTTTCAGTGTTTTCCAGTGTGTCAAATAATGTATGGGATCTTTGGCACTCCTGGCTAGGGCATCCTCATACGGGTCGTCTATCTCTTATGTTTCAAAAATCTTTACTCGGCAAAACCAATGTTCGGATTTCTGGTTCTCATTCGTGTAAAAGCTGTGTTGAAGCTAAAACAGTCAACATTTCTTTCCTTCTAGTGATACCATCATCAAAGAACCTTTTCATATCGTTCATACTGATCTTTGGGGGCCTTCTCCTACTCTTAGTAGACATGGTTTTCGGTATTTTGCCTTATTTATTGACCATGCTACACGTTTTACCTGGATATATTTTCTTCGTTTGAAATCTGATCTTCATGCTATCGCCATTGAATTTTTAAATATGATCCAAACTCAGTTTGAGCGTACTGTTAAAATCATTAGGTCAGATCCAGGTAGAGAATTTAGCAAATTGATGTTGTTAGACACGAATCAATTTGGGGGAGGATGTTAATTGTGTATGTGTCTCGTATGTATAGTAGTTGTAGTTCGTAGAGCCCATTGCATTAAAAGCCCATGCAACCCATGAATATTAGGAGCAAATTACGTAACCCTAATTACTAAAGGGTTCGGCCGATGTTGGGTATAAGTGTAGAAAGCAGCAGCCTTTGTACATCATCGAAAATCATCAGTAAAACTGTAGTCGAGGAGTTTCAAGCTCCTCCGTGGATTAGTCCTGGTTAATCCGGGGACTAATCCACGGATTAACCAGCGATACATCATGTATCGCTTTTCTTCTTCCTTCTCCACTTTGCCAACGACCCAAATTTTGCCAGGGACCTAGCCTCTCGACCCAGATTTTGTTCGATTCCCTGTATTTGTTTCAGATCGGAACTAAGATGGTGATGAAAACGAGGGAACAAGGTTGCTGGTAGGGAAAGAAGGCTGGTCGGAGAGGAAGGGAGAAGGAGAAGTCGGCTGGAGAAGCAGGACTGTTGTCGATGATGATGAAGTGGACGGTGGGGAAGTGGGAGGTTCTCCACTTCTCCTGAAACCCAAATCGAGAAGGGGAAAGAAGGAAGAAAAAAAAAAGAATTAAAGAAAAAAAATATAAAAGAGTTGTGGTGCGGGTGTTGTTTCTCGATATAACAGGTTGGTAACCGGTAACCGTCTATCCAATTAACCGGTTACCAATCAATACCAATTGTCGAACTCCCTCTCGTCTCTATCAGTATACCGATAACCGGTTTAACCAATTAACGATTGATTACCAGTCATAAGAGGGTATTAGTGAAAGGAAATTGGAATAGGATAGGATTAAAAGGTAATAAGAGGAATGATAAAAAGAAAAAAGGGAGGGGCCTTTGGGATGGAATCGATTTGGAGTAGCAGCGCAGCAAGGAATTGCCGAAGGAAAGCTGCGAGAGGAATAAAAATGAAGGCTCGAGGGTTCTTTTGGAATTATCAGGGTAGATAATTAAAGGAGAGCATAGGAGTGCTACTGAGAGCCAGCTGAGTGACGAATCGCCGCTAGGGGTTAGGCTTTTTCCGAGTATTTCGTCCTTTCTCCTTAATTAGGATCATAATTACCAAAATCAGTGTATTTTGTTATTAGGGTGAACTAAATTCCTTTTTTTTTTTGGAGAAAAACATTAGGATGTAGTTATTTTTAGACTTGATGAATGAATTTATTTTTTTATTTCAATCTCTATTGCATGGAATTTTTTAATGATTTGTATAGTTTGGCCATCAATACATTGATTCGTAGTTAATTAGGTTATTAGTGATGGAGAAACCCTGATAACTGAACCTATTTAATGTCACATAGTAACTTATTAAAGGGACAATAGATTAAATAAGGTGTTATGCAGTCTTAAATAGGATAACAATCAATCATGAGGGAAAATTAGTTAAATTAATGAGTTGTGAGACCACAGAATTTGATTTAACTGATTTAGTATTAAAATTGAAGGTAATTTGATTTCGAATTGTGTGTAGCATTGGTATCGTTGGAACAGATAGATATACATGTATTTTTTTAAGATAGATATATATACATGTACCAGAAGCTAGTTTAGGTTATTGTTGAATTACAAATAATTACATGGAGAAATTAGTGGAAAACAAAAATATCATTTTTTATTTTGTGACTATCTACGGGAACAGATAGGATGCTAACATCCTTAAGTATTAGCACCATACTAACAGTTAATTTAAAAGTATTATAGTAACTATCTCTTCTTTTCCCTTACCTTTTCCTTCTCCTCCCCTTTCATTCAAGTTGTTTTTCTATGTTTCATTTATAAACTATAGTTTTGATACCTAAACTTAATAGATATTAATATATAGTATTTAAAATTAATTTTTATTACATTTGAGTCCTTAAAAATCAATGAAAAATTACACTTTAGTACCTGAAATTTTTATTTCTTATATTTTGGTACCAAAACATTTTAAAATCTACAAACAGTTCCAATGCTAAGAAACTTCTACCCTGCTATGAAAAAATTCAAGCCTACTTTGAGTTGTGTCCTACTATGAGGAGGTTCTGACCTACTTTAAGGTTGTGGCCTACTTTGAGAAGGTCTCGGTCTGCTTTAAGGTTATGGCCTACTTTGAGGAGTTTCTGACCACCTTCGATGGTCCCCCTCCCTTCCTCACTTTTAATGCCAAAAAGGAAGGTTGGCACCCCCATCTCCTTCGCCTAATTTTTATTAATGACCAGTGTGCCCCTCCTTCCTTTTCTCTTTCATTAATTGTGGTCAACTCATTTTAATGGAAAAGTCATCCAAAGGAAATGGTCTTATTGGCTGGAGCTAGAGTTAGCACCATGCTAACAGGAAAAAAAGTGTTAGTGTGCTACTAGCCCTTCTTGAGTATCTATTGTTTCTTACAATGCAGTCAAAAGTTAGTTTAAAGTTTAAAAGCATACGCTTTTAACCTTCCAAATATTGTAGCTTTTGTTAAAAAAACAATTTGCACGCCCAGCCCTCAAGCATAGTAAAAGTCATAGAAGCTAGCTTTAAAATCGCATTTATAGGCTTTTGATATCCGAATATTATGACAATATTGTAGGAACCTGCAATGGTTCGGTTCAAACTGAAGCGGACCAGACATTGAGAACCACAGTCGAAAAATAAAAAAAATAGGACCAAGGACTAAACCATTATTGCAATCTGTCAAATATAACCCGATTTGGTCCTGTCCAAATATCAAGTAGACACATTTTCGTTTAGTATTTATAAATTTAATAGAACCAATTACCGAATTGCATTTGTACCATTATAAAATGACACACTCACTCACCCTAATTTACTAGATAGTCAAAGGAGATTGTTTACAATATACATCTATTATAATCGATACAGTACACTTTGAGAGGGCCTTAAAAGCACCTGGACCCTAATGAAATTTTTTATTGGGCATCAAAAAATATTTGGTTTCCATATTTGTGTAATAACTAATAAATAAGAAGCAACTCAATGGGTTGATCCTAATAATCTGTAACCCAACTTGTTCGCAACTTAAACAATCCGCAACCCAAACAACACATGACCCGATTGATATGCAATTTGAATAACCTGCAACCCTACAAACCTGCAATTGATGAACCTCCAACCCAACTAACCAATTAAACCTAAGTTGAACCTGCCCTACTCGTTTAATTGACATTCTATGTGGAAGTAGTATGTCTCTACAAGCAAAGCTTAGTACTAGAGCAGGTTACGGTGACAACCTACCTCTACAGCGTCGATTTTTATTTTTTTAGTTTTTTTATATGGCGGTCAAAATTGTTCCAGTGTTTATTTTGGAAACAAAAAACTTACCACAACCGCTAGTTACCGCTCCTTTCATATATGACTTTCATCTCCATCTCTCATCCCAAAATCAGATGATTCACTCTCTTCTCCCTTGTCTCTCGTAGCTGCTTCCCCCCTCCATTCTCTCTCCCTAAATTCCTGGAGGGAGATGATGACAACTGGTTTGAGGAAGACGACAACAACCGTTGCATAAACAACGACGACTTTGAGGTAGTGCCGGCAACAACCCTCCCATCCACAGCGTCAGCTTCACCACATTCCTATCTTCACTACCGTCTCCCTGCTTCGTCTCACAAAATCATATTGACGTTTCTCCCATTAACGACATTGGTGAGCTCTCTCTCTCTCCCTCCCTTCCCTCGTATCTCTTTATGTATGCTACTCTCTCATTTTTTTCTTTTCTCAAAACTCATATCCGATATTTGTATCATGATCCTGAACTATTATTGGTTTTGTTTGAACTGGTATTGGGTGTTTTGTATTTAGTATTGGTTCGTCTAAACTAGTATTGGTATTTCTGATATGGTAGTGTTTTTAAGATCTAGTATAGGTTTCTTGTTTAAAAACTTTTATTTGAGTTTTATAATTTATATTATGGTATTGATTTTTTCTAAATGGTAAGTGTTTTGCAACATCCTCGTCCCTTTTATATCTAATTTTAAATCATAAATCAGTGACATGGTTACTATAGTAATTGTTATAGAAGGTTGGGATTTAGTTGGCTATGGTTGAGCTTGTGTTAGCTATGGAAGAGTAGCGATTTTAAGTAAGAAGGGTTAAGGGTTGAACCACTTAACAATAAGCTAATAGTTGGGTAAGAGAAAAATCCTAGTTAGAGTTGGGTTAGAAAGGTTAATGGGGAACTGGTTTTGATTGGGCCAACTAGAGGAGTGGGATGGGAAATCTCTAGAAATTAAAGGGAAGAGAGATTTCTACATCTCTACATCTTCTCTTCCCCATTCACACACTCTTCTCCCCATTCTTCTCTACACCTTTCTCTATTCTTCTTCTCATCTTCTGGAAAACTCTAGCAACATAGTGGGAAAAAGAAGATGTTAAAGGTAGAATCCAAGTACCACATCAGAAATATAAGGGAAAGAACTCTTGTATATATGAGTCCACCTAGTCCAATTAGTACGAGACCTTTTCGGGAGGACATCCAATAGTAAAACCGTGCGGGCTTGTCCCAAAGCGGACAATATCGTACTAATTGAGCACCTCGGTGTTTGACAAGTGGTATCAGAGTCTG